CAGAAGTTGTGATGAATCGTTGTGTTGTGTCATACAGTGAGTGTCATTATTAAATATATAAGAACAGACTTTAGCAATGTTTAGTCACTCGGTAGGAATCAAGTGGTCCGTGGTTGAGACTTAACAGAAGAGTTACCACACTCCAGTCATACAGGAACTTTACGTTTATCTTCAACTTTAACGTTTCACTGAGTTTATTCAGATTGCTAATGTTTGTGTTTTATTTATGTCACTGTGTTTTTCATGTAGTTGTCAAGTTATTACAATGTAAATAAATCTGTTAAATTCTAGCGTAATCTCTTAAATCTCTCTTCAAATTATTAGCCAGCATCAAGAACGAAACCCTGGATTCCTGATGAGCATTGCAACAGATTGGGGAGCTTGGTGCTGGATTACAGATCAACAAGATTATATTGTTCTGATGCATTAGTAACTAATATTAATGCAGACAAGCCTACGCAGTTAAGTTTTGCATTGTTCCGGTTGTGTTAGGTAGCCATTCAGTACAATTCAATTGGGGACAAATCATGGCATAGGTTCCATTAGTAAAGAAGTAGATTGAGGGGAGGTAACAAGTTTTATATAAGATTAGGCTACAGACCCAAAAAGACATATCACATAACCCTAACCATAGACTATTTAAGAGTTAAAAATTGACAACTCTTGAACGAGGTCAACAAGTCTTATAAAATAGTTTGATTTTTTGATTCTCAAAAGGATTCATCCTTGGGTGGTAATAAACAATTTCACCAAATTTTGTGCCACCATGAATACACAGAAAGTTTTGACATATATTGAAATATCTGAACCTTTTGCTCTTTAAATGACAGTTTGAAGCAAGGGTATCTGCACCTAGAGGCACAGTGGATCACCTGACCCCTCATGCAAAATTGAACAGTTTTTCTGTGATAGGGTGTATTTTTAAAGAAACTTGGTTGTTTTATTTATTTGTTATCTTCTCTAAATACACCACTACTGTTTTTATAAACACCTAATTACATTACACTGGCCTTATACTAATTATTGCTCTCTCTTAGTCTCTTTAACTCAACTGATCTCACTGGACCTTGTCACCTTCTGTCATTGGCCAACTGGGTGAGTTTTTAGTGAGTTTCATCACCTATCCAGTCAGAAACTTTACTTTTATCTAAGTCTTTAAAGAAGAAGGAAGTATATTTCAACCTCCTTAAAATACTGAATATCTACTTCTTTATTCTTTTTCATCACCAGTTATTGTCTTCTGATAACTTCACAGGTATGTGTGTTTTGGTATTTTATTGGGTAATTGTCTTTTTGGGAAAGTATATTTTGTATGAGAGGTGTATAAATGTAACCATGGTATTTTAAGCAACAGCAGCCATCTTGAATTTTTATGCTTTGGGATCCTATGTGTTCAATATGTTCATAGTCTGTTATTTAATTCCAAATTGTTATAATTACCTTTTAATTATAATTACATTCACAGGTTTAGTTATAGACAGATATAGTTTTCCATATTTCAACAGCTTTATATAAAACCCCATCTTTGGGTTAGTTTTACTTTTATATATTTAATCTTATTTCATCTAGTCCCTGGCATAAGTTTCCCTCATTGCATATTAAGTTTAACATATATTACTAGTATAGAAGTGTAAATAGGTATTGTGCATTTACTGTGATAATATTTATGTGATAGATCATTATTAAGATATAGTATTTTATTATTGTATTATATATCTAATTGTATCATATTATTATTACAGAGTTTTATTATTAAAGTTATCAACTGAGAATATCGTTTTTGATATAACAACTGAGCTCGCTTCCCCCCTGAACTAGCCCGGCTACATTTCTATATGGGGTGGGGATGAGAGGTAATGAGGTGATGTACATGATGCAGTATCAGAGAGTTTGACCAACAATGGACATCATGTCCATCAACTTCCTTCTTCTTCGTGAGTATTCCTCTTCACCTGTATTTCACAGAAACGTTAAATTCAGTAAGTTCTCTGTGCTGCTATATTAGCTACGACTATCAAGCATAATAGGTATAAGATATAACAACAATACAGGGAAGCCCGTCTGCTGGGGAGTCTGTTTTAGGGTGAAGTAGGTCGTCTTCATTGTTGGCAGGAAAAAAAATAATATGCAGCTTGGACATGCGTTAAGAATTACAGTCTATGATGCAAGCCAAAATTTTGTTTTTTTTATCCGTCAGCAAGAAAGATATGGTATGATATAATCTTGAGATGAACAACAGCTAAAATGTTGAAATAATCTCTAAGATTAATTACAGAAATAACCATTATATAATTATTCAGATTAACTTCATTTCAAGGTCAAGTTTTTAAAAAATTTTCTTTGATCCCCCTGACAAATATTATACAGGGACCCTGTCTTTTTTGCATTATAATACACCAAGGAGTAGTTCTATTTCAATATCAATAAAATCTAATATTAGATATCGTTAAATAGTTTTCATGTTAAGATAAGTTAAACAATTCAACCATTCCACTTCCTTAATTTGATTATCAATATTATTTTAGAACAAAATAATCAGTAAGACAAATAACATGACAGTATGATATCTTCTATCACTGGAGTGTTTACTTAAAGTATATTCCGCTTTTTTGTAAAAAGTTTTCATCATCAAAAACCTTTTAAATTATACCTGAAAATATTCCTCAAGTATGCTAATCATATCTCTGTATCTACTTGATCAAACTGAATATGTTTTAAAGGGGTAAATTAATTGTTAATTAAGCAGTTTGACCTGGTTTTGGTGTTTGGCTTTATAATGGCTCGATATTATTAGTTAAAATCTTTAGAATACGTAGGAGATATATTTCTCTACAATCAGGCGTTTATTTTACACAAATCTGTACAGTAGTTTTTTAACACTCTCCAAAAAGCATAACAAACTTGAAATAGTTTTGGCATGAAAAAAATTAACCGCTAAGATTCTTTAAGTTAGAAATTAAGGGGACATATTTCTCTAGATTTTAGAGTATAGTTTGCACAATTACTCCAAAAGCGGAATGTCCCTTTAAGAATCAAATATTTTTTTTGCCTTCATTTGGGAGATGAACACAGAATGTGCATATGTTATTTGAAATGAGTTTAAGATAAACTTAACAACAATCAGGATGTTTATAAGTAGTCAAGGGAAACCGAGGCAGATTTTTTTATCAGCCCCTTTATAAAGATAACTGCGTTGTTCACTATTCAAAATCAAAATGGCTGGCAATGTGGATGAGTTCGAATGTGCTGTTTGTCTGGGACAATTCCAGGAACCTAAATCATTGGATTGTCATCATACATTTTGTAGAAAGTGTCTGGAAGACCTGGCTAGTTCCAATTTGGTGGGTAACAGCAATGCAATCAAATGTCCATCATGTAACAAGGTCAGCAAAATTCCTGATGGAGGAGTGAACAATTTTTCAACCAATATTCGTTTCTCTACCAAAGCGTCGAGTTCAGCAGACAGGGATGATAAACAATACTGCTCCAAACATCCTCAAGATGAGCTGAACTGTTTCTGTGAAGAGTGTGATACTATCGTCTGTTCGACCTGTCTTCTTGGTCAACACAAAAACCACAAGTTTCTTATCATTGAAGAATCTAAAGACGTGATTTCTAAAGATTACCAAGATCAGAAAGAAGGACTGAAAAAGAAGCTAGAAGAGTTGAAAACAGTGAAGGGAATAGCCGAGGAATCTTTAAAGAAACTTACAGAATATCGACAAACAGAATTGAACAGTTTCCAGACCGAACTCCAGAACAATTTTGAAGAAAATTGTGTGAAACTTACCACAGTTCTCAGCATGGTCAATACACAGATATCACTAGGCGAGAAATTCTCTACGATTGACCCTGAAGCTGCTACAACTAAAACAATTGACGTATTAAGAGCTGTTTTAATAATGAAAGAAATAAACAAGGAGTCCTCCAAATCGTATTTCCCTCCAATATATTATTTGAAAGTTAAGAAGGAAGAAAGTGAGTTACCTGGAACTAATTCAGTGGATAGATTAGAAATTGTCAAATTATCCATACCCTATACCAATAGCTCTGATACTTGGAGTAAATCAGAGGGAGGAGTCAATCCTCTTCATGTACCAAGACAAGTGGAAGATTTCCACCCAACACAAGCTCCGCCAATCCACAGTGAAGAAGACCAATCTACTCCGTGTCAGAGGAAATTAAACTTTTTTATATTTTGTGTAACTGGTATAGCTCTTGCTGGTGTTGCCCTTTATTATATAGTAAGACTTTTCTTTTAAATCTGTGTTTCATTATCATGTGATATATTGTGTGCAGTGGTGTTTCTTGAAAACATTAGGTGAGTGGGCGTAGTAGGGCCACAGGCAATTCATGCCAAAGCCAGGCCAGCCTCTTGTCCCCTGCCAAACACCACCCCCCTTTCCTAACTTGTTACTTTTTAAATTTCATATCAATTAATGTTCATAATATGAATAAAATGATTGACAGCGTAAACACATTACTGTTTTATCCAATGAAATAGAAGCTCGAGCAAGTCACAAGTTTTGTTAAAAAGGGGCTGGAGCTTCAATCATGCTTCAAGCCCCGCCTACTTTCCTCTTAGATTCTATTTGTCTTTCATGTCAAGTTATCTCAGTATGGTACAACAACAAATTACTGATAATAGACCAGGGTTTTTCCTCTAACACTCATTTTAAGCAATTTATTTGTTAAAAACATCAAAGAAAAAATGCAATTATTTTAGAATAAAGATTATTCAAGGTCAAATCTCTTGACATTGATTTTTCCAGATGATCCATACCTGATTTATGCTGGGTCAGACCAAATATTTAGGAAAAATGACCTATTCATGGTTATTCAAGTCTTTCCATAGAATAAGATCTTTTGAGTCTGGCCCTAACTGTGACGATATCACATCCCAGGTACAAGTAACGCCAGATTGTCAGACTAGATGTAAGTAAGCAAATGACATCATGTTAAGATTCCAAAGCTCTTACTGTTTGTGCTACAGCCCCTTCTCAGAACAAATATTTCAAGCCACTGACCTGATATTGTACTGTTTCCTGCATGGCACCAAGATGAACTGGAATATGGGGAGCGTTGGCAACCAGACCCCCGTCATCTCCAAATAACGCACAGGAAAAATCCAATCTTTCCTACAAAACAAAAACAATATGGCGTTATATAATATATATATATATATATCTCAATTCATACACTCATCATCAAATGTTTTCCAAAACACTTAAAAACCTGTTATAATTACAGAATTTTACATTGAGCTTAACCAAATTATAACCAAATTATAACCAAATTATAACCAAATTAAAAAAAACAAATAGACCTTAAGACACTGGAACCTTAATAAAAAAATTAACTTAAAATAATTTCAACATTCTCTTTTTTTCATTTGTCTATCACTAAATTTTCAAATTTATCAATAAAAAAAATTGTCTGAAAATCTTTAAAAAAATGAATCTTTTAAACTTGAATGAATTCCCTGGATTCCAAAGATTGTAATAGTTTCCAATATATTGACATTTGACACATGAACAAAGAATGAGAACTCACTGAAGAGGAGAGAGAACTCAATAATAAGAATATTCTACAGTCTATAATAATCTTGATTTACCTTGATATTAGTAGAGATAGCTGTCCTCTGTAACACTCTGAAATATAGACAGAGAATATTAGACGGATTTCAAACACAAGAAAATATTATAGAATAAACACACTTCTTTAATATAATATTAAACACATAACGTTTCAACATAGATTACACATGTTTCAAATGAAATGTGTTTAATATTTTGTTTAGACAACTGAAGTATCAAGGATGATATCAATAAATGGGGGTATAAAAAGAAATTATCACAGTACCTGCCCATCTGTTCAGCAATACTCATAAATCTATGAGAGAATATTGATAGTTGTATAGCATCTAATTCTTCTCCTACTGTTTTCACTGTACCACTACCAATCTAGATGAAAAAAGCAATTGTTATGGACATGAAGGGTCAGGTGACATAAAACACTAAACTGGACTAAACTTCCACTAACCCCATCATATAGTAGGGTAGATGTAAAACGTTTTAGGCAACCATTCAACTTATCCCCTATCCAAGTCCTATACCTTAACTCTATATTACCATTATCTCATAAACCAAACCAGTTGCCTTGAGTAGGATATATTTTCATTTTATTATATTTTCTTTATTACTATTAAAATAATCAAATTTCTAGTCACTGTAAATAAACCACGGAACCTTACCTTAATATTAATATCACCAGTAGTAGTAACAGTAAATAAACCAAGGACCTTACCTTAATATTAATATCACCAGTAGAAGTAACAGTAAATAAACCAAGGAACCTTACCTTAATAATAATATCACCAGTAGTAGTAACAGTAAATAAACCAAGGAACCTTACCTTAATATGAATATCACCAGTAGTAGTAACAGTAAATAAACCAAGGAACCTTACCTTAATATTAATATCACCAGTAGTAGTAACAGTAAATAAACCAAGGAACCTTACCTTAATATTAATATCACCAGTAGTAGTAACAGTAAATAAACCAAGGAACCTTACCTTAATATTAATATCACCAGTAGAAGTAATGGTAAATAAACCAAGGAACCTTACCTTAATATTAATATCACCAATAGAAGTAATGGTAAATAAACCTAGGAACCTTACCTTAATATTAATATCACCAGTAGTAGTAACAGTAAATAAACCAAGGAACCTTACCTTAATAATAATATCACCAGTAGAAGTAATGGTGGCTATACAAGTTGGTTCTATTAGTATAGTACTGTAATATACAATATAATATAATAACTGATAAACATAAACAAAACAATAACAAGCTTGTCCTTGACCAAACCTATTGATAGCAACCTCAGTTTTTGAAGATTCTGTCTATCTTGGCATCTATTTTACATCAATAGCAACAACTAAGGTTCAGAAGGATTCTGTCTACCAGCTGGTGCTTGACTAAACATTTTGGCATTAGTGTTTCATTGATAGCAACTAAGGTTCAGAAGGATTCTGTCTACCAGCTGGTGCTTGACCATACATCTTGGCATTAGTGTTACATTGATAGCAACTAGGGTTCATGAGGGTTCTGTCTACCAGCTGGTGCTTGACTAAACATCTTGGCATTAGTGTTTCATTGATAGCAACTAAGGTTCAGAAGGATTCTGTCTACCAGCTGGTGCTTGACCATACATCTTGGCATTAGTGTTACATTGATAGCAACTAGGGTTCATGAGGGTTCTGTCTACCAGCTGGTGCTTGACCATACATCTTGGCATTAGTGTTACATTGATAGCAACTAGGGTTCATGAGGATTCTGTCTACCAGCTGGTGCTTGACCATACATCTTGGCATTAGTGTTACATTGATAGCAACTAGGGTTCATGAGGGTTCTGTCTACCAGCTGGTGCTTGACTAAACATCTTGGCATTAGTGTTTCATTGATAGCAACTAAGGTTCAGAAGGATTCTGTCTACCAGCTGGTGCTTGACCATACATCTTGGCATTAG